GCAGAAGCTCGGGTACCGTTAAACCTGTCTATGGCCTCCTGGCGCAGCCCGCCGGTGATGCCGCCGTCGATCCGCTCGTACTTGTAGCCTTCATACTCCAGGAAATCCTCCAGCAAGTCCAGCATCTTCGTCATCTGCAGGGTAAGGCAACCTTGGCACGGGCAGCTCTGCCCGGCCCAGCTCCCTGGCACCTCCAAATCCCCCGGGGACCTGCCCTGCCCAGACAGACCCCTGTGGGCAGCCCTGTCTGAACGGCCCTTCCTGACAGGGAGCACTATTACTGTTATCTCTTTATCCATACATAAAAGACGTTTTTAAACATCACAGTGAGTCCCCTGAGAGAGACCTGGGCCAAAGGCCAGTTATTGTGATTGCCACAGTGACCACAGCTTAGGGGACAAGCTGTCACCAGTTCTTCCATCTCTCTCCATTCCTTTGAAGATGTATTATTATTAAACCTCCTCTACGCTCACCTGGGAGAAGATCAGAACTCTGTGGCCCCCATCCCGTAACTTCTTCAGCATCTTTTGGAGCAGCATCAGTTTCCCAGAAGATTTGACCAAAGAATTGCCATCGTAGGATCCATTGGGCAGAACCGGGGCCTCCTGTGAAGGTATCCCAGTTAGCCCCTTCAAGGACAACACACAGGAACTTTGCTCATTAACTTCACACGCATTCCAAAGATCAAATCCTTCCATGGAACCATCCACAGGGAAGCCCACAGTTAACCAAAGCACACGATATCCTGAGCAACGTCTCCACAGCGCGCGGTTGACATACCACCGCTGCCACGGGGAAGAGGTACGGGTGATTACAGCACTTCTTCAAGTCCATCATGATGTTAAGCAGTGAAACCTGGTTCCCACCACCTTTTGAATTCAGGGCTTCAAAATTCCGTGTCAGTATGAACTTGTAGTACTTCCTGCAGGAACAGGGACAGGACAGACACCCTGGTTAACTCAGCCAGACGTGGAACTGGCATAAGTAGGATGGCACTGAATTAAACCCTGCTCAGGTCATTTCAAAGGGGACATTTGGGCATTTTTAAGAGACAGTTCAGCAGCCTCAGCCCTGGGCTAGGTTTATTTGACTGCTCTGTGGGCACCACAGCTCCCATAAGGGGTATGGACTCAGGGGCACAGTGACCAGGAACACTGGGTGTATACCAAGCCTTGCCCACCCCTGCCAGGAGAAAGGGATGTGCCCTTCCCTGCAATTCCCCAATCTCTGCAGAAGATGCTGCTGAAGCTGAGCAGGTCATCCCAAAAGAGACAGAACTGAGCAAAGACCCCCTGGGCAGCAGGGATGCTCCAATCCGACACCCAATGAGCTGGCAGCCCAGGCTGCTGCTGGGAACAGCAGAAGGGGGCTCAGCCTGAGTGTTTTCTCTGTGCCCACAGAACTAGCAGACACGCTGGCACCCTGCCAGCACCAAACACTTCCTGCACAGCCAGGACCTCATGGAGTCAAGTTTACCCAGACTGAACGCACTCCCTGGTGAGCAGAAAGTGCTCCAGCTCTTCCCACAGCACGGCTAAGGACAGTGCAGGGTCTCTGACCTGTGGAACCCACCCCAGGTGACACCTACTGTGCCGTGGGGTGAGGAAACCAGCCACCCCCAGGATGATGTGCTGGAATCACTCACTTCTGCATCTGGCTCAGCTCCACTCTCACGATCAGCTCCGTCTTGGCCGGCATGTTCTTGAACACATCTGCCTTGAGCCGCCGCAGCATGTGGGGACCCAGCAGATCATGGAGCTTTTTGATCTGGTCCTCCTTGGAGATGTCAGCAAACTCCTCCAGGAAGCCCTCCAGGTTACTGTGAAAGCAGCCAGACCCACACAGGGCTGAGTGATAACAGGACACATGACAGCAAAGACATCCATTTCCATAGGACTTAAAATCACAGGCAGAGCTCCCATGGATACGATGAGGTAACGCTCCTGTGCCTGCGCCCAAGCAGAGCAAAAGCCAGACCGAGGCATGCTGATACCAGAGGGGAAATTTGCACTAAATGCACTAATACCAAGTCTGAACGAGGGTCCTACTGAACCTCTGTCTCCTCAGAGAGAGGGAAGGGAATGCAGGTTTCAGGTCCTCACAAACCTCCTGATCGATAGCAAGGCAACAGCTCCCCACAGGACCCAAAAAGTCTGAGTCCATGGGACTAAATCTGGGGTCACGTTAAATGACCTGCTATGAGAGGCCACAGGGGCAACGTGCTTTGCCACCTGCCTGCTAACACAGACCAGTGACACTGGCATAGCAGGAACTGGATCCAGGCACAGACAGGAGCCCGGGAAACTGGAACCCTCTGCGAGACCACCCTGCTGCCAGCCCTGGCTGCTCTCCCTTTCAAAGACTTACTTAAACCTCTCAGGAGTCAGGAAATTGAGCAGGTGGAAGAGCTCTTCCAGGTTGTTCTGGAGTGGGGTCCCAGTGAGCAACAGCTTGTAATCGATCTTGTAGCTATTTAATACTCTAAAGAACTGGGAGAAGAAATGAGGTGAGGTGAAAAGAGGTCTGAGGAGCCACTTAGTCATCTGGGGACTGCAGACTGCACACATGGGGACCCAGCAGTGGCCTCTCCCCACGGGGCCTGGCACACAAAGCAGACTGCATCTTGCACATCCTGCTCTGAGTCACCCCTTGGAGCACAGGCAGCAATCCCGAATGTCCCTGGTCATTCCACCTGACTTCCCCCCGTGCTGGGGACTGGGTGAAGGTCCCAGGGCCCAGAGGCTGCAATTAGCCTCAGGGAAAGGGGAGAGGAAGAAGAGGGATCAACTCCCTTCCACAACAGCCCATCTAAGGGCTGTCAGGCAGCAAGCCACCTCTTCCCCTGCTGAAGGACTTTTAACACCAGAGGATGCTGAAAAGAGCAAATCCACCACAACAGAGGTTCCAGGCAGAGCCTGTGCGAGGCGAGGACATCGCTCAGCTTCCAGGAAGGCAAGCATGGAGCAGCAGACCACCACTGCTGGGGTGTTGTATCTGTGTGGCACCAGCCACACCACAAAACATAAACATCTCATAAACATCTCATAAACATCTGCTACCTACTTTGGACTGGTTGTTCTTCAGCCTGTGTGCTTCATCCACCACCAGACAGGCCCACTCAATGGAGCCCAGCACCGCCTGGTCAATCGTAATTAGCTCATAGGAGGTGAGCAGGACATGGAACTTGATCTGGGCTTCCTTCTAGAGAAGAGAGGAAGAGAAGAGCCTGGATAAGAGGGCAGGGAACAGGAAGGACCCCTCCTTTGCTGCTGCTGCACACAACACCAGGAGAAAAGTGGGGGGGGCTGCCTGCACAGCACCAGCAGCAGGACCGGGGCACAAATCATATCAGCAGAAAACCTTCACCCATCTGAACAACAGAACCAAGTCGTGGGCAACAGAGACAGGAAAGGGTCTGGCAGAGATCTTTAAAGCTCAACCCAAATGTCCTGTGTTTGTAAACAGTGCCAGCTTCCCTCTTTGGAAAAGAAAAAAATTTTAGGGACCTAACCAATCTCACTCTCCAGGTCAAATTCTGCTCTCTCTCCTTCTTACTGGTGGTTGAAGTACTGGGTAGGGCACAGGCTGAGCTCCCACCTTCATCCGGAAGACCTTCTTTCCGCTCCGGATGGCGTTGTCCTCAAAAGAAAACTCGTTCTCCCGGATGACCGACCGGCTCTCCTTGTCCCCCGTGTAGGTCACCACATAGAAGTCAGGTGCCCACATCTCAAACTCACGCTCCCAGTTGATGATGGTAGAGAGAGGGGCGCTGACCAGATACGGCCCTTTCGAGTGGCCCTGCTCGGGGAAACAAAGTCCTGGCTGTCCTCCCTGCACCGAGCAGCTCTCCGCCACCCCGGGACTGCCGGGTGCTCCACTCACCTCTTTGTACAGGGAATACAAGAACACAATAGTCTGCACAGTCTTGCCCAGCCCCATCTCGTCGGCCAGGATCGTATCCGTCCCCTGGGCCCAGGAAAACCTCAGCCAGTTCAGCCCTTCCAGCTGGTACGGGTGGAGCGTGCCGCCCGTGGCGTCGATGTACCACGGCTGCTTGTCAAACTTCACCGTAGGCTGCAAAGAGAGAGACACGACACAAAGCAGTGAGAACCAAATCCCCCTCCTTCCTCTGCAGCCAAGCACATCCTTCTTCAGCCCTGTGACACCAAACAGCTCCAAGACATATTCAGACACAGTCACCAGCAGACCCCAGCCCTCAAGTTCCTCACAGCAAAATCATCCTGAAGCTTTCAGTGAGAAAAAAACAACAGGATCCCCAAAGGAACTAGAGGAGAAAGACATAACAGGATGGGGTGCAGGCAGACCTCCCTCTCTCTGGATTTGCACACTGTTGTGCTCACCTGGCCTCATCTTACTCACATCCACGAGAGGTGTTTCTGGAGGTTTTTCCAGTTTCTCCTCTTTCAGCTTTTTCCCTTTCTTGTTCAGCTTCTTCAGAGGGCGTGTGTCCTCCCCCAGCATCAGCTCCCTGCGACAGCCAGTGTGATCAGGAAAAGGCAGGCATGCATTCCTCTCCCAGTCCCAAGCCAAGGGACAGAAACACCTCTCAAGCTCCACTGCCTTTTCCCCATGGGAGCTCTTCTGGACAGAGTGTTAATTTTTCCCTCCCAACAGTCCATGCAATGTCATCCAAAATGAAGAAGAGCAATCTCATCAGGGTACTGTAGTTCTTCCCCAAAACAGACACAGAGCTGCCCTGAAGAGTTGTGAGACCATGAATACCCCAGCAGCACAAATGCAGGGAAGGGGAGCACAGCCTGGGAAACAGCAGGGAAGGACAATTTCCCTGCAGCATGAAACAGCATTCCAGGAGGGTCAGCTTTCCCAAAGTGCTTGGCCACTGCTCTCTGAGGAAAGGTCCCTGCAAGCGGTGCCAGCGTGTTCAAGAGGGGACACCTGTGAGTTCCCTGCTGTCCCAAACACCCACACAGGCTGCCCCAGCTCTGCTGGGCTCTCCCAGGCTGCAGCAGCCTGGCTGTGGTCCCACCAGCTGCCCAGCTCCTACCTGTGGTTCCAGTAGAGGTGTTTGAGGTTCTCATAGTACGGGATGTCTATCTCATCTATCTCCCAGGTGCACTGGTCGTACGGTAGGTCCTTCCACTTGATCAGGTAATGGATGTCTCCCTTTTTGTCAAAGCTGCAATGCAGGACACCAAAGGCCTATCAAGGAATGACACTAGGTCCTGGGAAGCAGCCAGCCACAACCTGCTTCCACAAACCCAGCTGCTTCATCCTCTGCTGTCACCTACAGATCACAACACTCAGAGGTAGAAAAACAAAGTATTGACAGTTTCCAGCAAAAATGCCTGTTACTCTGATGGGGGTGTTATGTTATTAACCTGCTCTGCCACTCCCCTGAACAATCTTGTTCCCCTCTTTGACCAGGACTGGATGAATAACAGTGCTCACCCTCCTCCTCTGCAGCTTTCAAAGCTCTCTGAATGTGTTCTTCCACGGAAAAATTAATAAATACACTACTGGGTCTAATTATAAGCCTACAGGGAAAGTATCCTTGCTTTACAAGCAGTCAGTGTAAAGCTCACATGGAACTTAGCCTGGCAGCTTTATTCCTTTCTGCCAAGCAGCCTTCAACCAGAGTTGCCACTTGAAATTTCTAGTTGTCACTTGAAATGTAGAAATTCCACAAAAAGCTGCCTCTAGCCACAAAATTTATCAAAAAAAAAAAAACATCTACACAGCACATTTCATACACAGGCGTCCTGGTTTGGGATAAAATAGAGCTGGTTCTGCTCAATGATTTTAATTAGAAGAGCTTTAACTGAAAAGTAACTGCTCTGCCTGAAGTTAGCAGTGTTTTTGCAAGCTGTCTGGCTTTAGCAGTGATAAGACTTCATGTTCAGAGTTACTGCCAGTGGTTGGGATGCAGACCCAGGCCACTGCTGAGCTTGGATCCCACACGGAGGGGGGCAGAGAATACACCACACCTCCGGGGAGGAGCAGGCAGGGTAAGTGACCCCAAGATTCACCAGTGGGGTATCCCATCCCACAGCTGGCATATCCAGTACAGCTGAAGGATCAGGAGGGACAAGCCCTTCCCTCGCCCCTTCCATTCTTCTTCTCTTCCCTCTTCCGCTGCTGCTGGGCTGCTGGCTGC